TGCAGGCAAAACACCTGTACACATAATAAAATAAAACATTTAAATTTAAAAGTAACTAGCTATTTTACTGCATTGCTAAAGGAACTTTCTAGTTAGATCTTTAAGCTTTTGGGAAAAAAATCAATTACTAGGTAAGCAAGTGAGTAGCTCCCTACCCTCACTCCCCACCAGTACAGTCAGAAGACTAGAACACATTTTGGGGACTCTTAACCAAAAGGGCCACAGTTCTCAAATAAGCCAGCCAAATTACCCAAGTTTAAGCCTTTACCTAGCTCTTCTGTTCCCTGGTATTCACAACCATGCTCTTCAACTGTTTTTAAGAGGGATCTAACTCCTCCGCAGAGGCAGAGTGAAACAATAGGAAATACTTGTCATAAAGACGTTATTACAAATGTGCTTAATAAAACGCATGTAACATAAGTCTGCTTAATAAAGCTGCAGCCTACAGTGAGACACGGGGTGTCTGCTCCGTTTTCATTAAAGCTGAATTTATTGCTTTGGCTTATTGGCTTATGTTCTCAGAACTTAATTCGGTCTCCAGATAACTTGCCCCCACAGAAAGCAGGTGGGTGAGCTGTGCCAGTGTAATGAGTTGTGAGGCAGGTAGCCTTCGCTAGCCTTGCCTTGGGTCAGCATCCCTCCTCAAAACCAAACAAAAATTGCACTAAAGAAAAGGTCGAGGGACTCCTAACTTCACCAGCATTAGTTCTGAGTAAATATAAACAGACACTTTTTAAAACTGCAGTGAATCTCATTATCAGATCTCCCACCTGGCTTTCTCCTGACAGGCCCCCCTTTCTGCAGTATCTCTCCCATCTTCTCCAGCTGTTTGTGAGGGAGGCTTGTCTTAACCGCTTCTCCCACTGCTGTGGCCAGACACCATGACAAAAATGGCATAAGGAAGGAATTCTTTTGTGTCACAATTCAAGGGGTGGTGGGAGAGCCGAGGCAGCTGACCTAGAAACAACTGGCCACTCGCTATGTTCAGCTAGCACCTTCCTTGGTACGCCAGCCCAGGGAATGGTGATACATTTAGGGTAGGTATTACTAGTCCAAGAACTCAATCAATGTAAAACCTCATAGGCGGTGACCTGAGGCACATCTAGTCACAAAGGCTTGTCTCTTGGATTACAGATCTGGTCAAACTGACCATGAGCACCACCACCACAGGGCTGCATTGCTCCTTGGGGGCATGGAGAACTTGAGGTGTGACATGAAGGAGGCAGTAGCAGGAAAGTCAGGCCCAGCATCCTTAGTGGATGCTCAGGGGTAAAAGTCAACCCGGATTCCAGCGAGAGCAGGGACAAATGTGTCTTCCTGAAGAAAAGGAAGTCTGGAGTGAATAGGAGAAAGAAATAATGAGAAAATGTTTGCAGAAGAGGAGATGAAGCTTCAGCACAGATATTGTTAAAATATGAGTAAACATTGTTTCCATTATTAAGTTACTGGTTTTACGAACAAAGAAGCAACCATTTGCAAGTGGTTATAAAAGTGATGGTCAAATACAGTGCACACAGGATTAATCAGTCAAGGATTGGCAGTCAAGAAGATTAATATGTCAAGAACCAAATATCATTCCCCCTCCACCTACAGCCTGCCTGAAATCCTGCTCCAAGAAATTCAGCAAAATCCACCTTGAGACCCAAGCCATTTCCTGGAAGCCCAATTCCTTTCAATAAGGTACTAAATCATTTTATTGCAAACACCACATGCTTTCTCATTGCTGAGAATGCTATTACACATTCACCTTTTCAAAATTCCATTGTAAACAAAATGATCCTTTGTGATATTTCTTAATATTCCACCTAGTTTATTGCTTTCTAGAATTTCTATCGTTACAGGGCCTCCTTTCAACACCCTGGCTCCCTCAAAAACCTAACCCATTCCCCAACTACCTAAGGGAGACTAAACAGAAGTGAGCCTCCCACAGCAGTGATGACAGTCACACCAGCCTCATGGTGAAACTGTGCACTCAAAACACTTAAAAATGACCCTGCCCCAATCTGTCTAAATCAAAAGTTCTTCTCAGTCCTGGCCATTAGAGCAGATCCCATGAAATATGGAGGAGGACACAGAAGCCACCCCTACACACACACACACACACACACACACACACACACACACACCAGCTACTACGCTCACAGACAGGCACCAACACAAAGACAACCCTAATACAGTGACTCTCAACTTTCCTAATGATGCAACCTTTTAATATAGTTCCTCATGTTGTGGTGATCGCAACCATAAACTTATTTTTGTTGCTATCTCATAACAGTTAATTTTGCCACCGTTATGAATTGTATTGTAAATATCTGATATGTGGGATATGTAATATGAGACCCCAAGAGGTTCGTGAGCCATGGGTTGAAAGCAGCTGTTCTAGATGGTTCCTGTAGGCAGCCATGAAAACTGGGGGGAGAGCAGAGAGTCTTTTCATTTTTCTCTGTGTGTTTTAAGAAATCATTTGAACGTGAATGCTTTCATAATGTAAACATAGTTCATCAAATAGAAAAACCAAAGATGCGAAGGGCAATTTCTTGTTCCCCCTTCTTTCATTTTATCTTTATTTAGTAGCTGCTCACCCCGAGTATTAGTCCAGTGTGTAAGGATTTGAAAAACATCAAATCTTCTGGATATCATTTTCAAAGAGCACAAGGCAACCACCCAGCCCAAGGGAGCCCTCCTAGTCCCTGACCATTGAGCAGTACTACACAGCATCCCTCAGTCTGCATGCAATCCTGCACCGAAGACTATATAGAGACACAGCTTGGGGTCGGGTTAGGAAAGTCTTGGCTCAGCTATAATTGCTTTTACCAGCAGCCTCCTCTGTTGGTACAGAGCTATACTTAATCTTTGTGATGTGAGGTACCTACCGCCTCTCACTTCCTTAGTATTCAGGCTAAATTTTCTTGTCCAGTTCTATCGAGTAGAATATCTGAGAGATGATCTTCTGTCTAGTGGAGCACTTAAACGTCTCAATTTTTCTAGATGTAACGGGTGTCTGGAATCTATGTTACATCCTAGTAATTATTTCCTAACACCTTTTCATTGTTATAACTCAAGCCACAAAGTTAAGATTTCTACTGCCCAAACCAGACTTTTTTTTAAAACTAGAAAACAACAATTTTAAAAAGCAAGTTTGTTGCAGAATATTCCTTTACACTGTGTGAAGTTATGGCACTTTGATTGGTTTAATAAAGAGCTGAGTGGCCAGTAGCTAGTCAGGAAGAGGTTAGGCAGGACTTCTGGGGACAGAGAGGGGAAGAAGAAAGGTGAAGTTTCCAGTCAGATGCAGAGGAAGCAGGGCATGTAGGAGGAGAGGTAAAGGCCACAGTCATGTGGCAGCATGTAGATTAATGAAAATATGGGTTAATGTAAGTTGTAAGAGCTAGTGGGACAAGCCTAAGCTAAGACCGGGCTTCCATAATCAATAATAAGTCTCCATGTCATTATTCGGGAGCTGGCTGGTGGACACAAAGAAGGACTGGTGACACAAGTTATTAATATTCCCTAGAATACGGGTCCATACATGATGAATAGGTTAACTACTAGCCACTAGTTCCCTCTGAATTTAGTTTTCAAGATGACATGGTTCACCCCATTTCTATTTATCTGTGTGGGTTTGGACAAGCTTTTGTAACTGTTCTGAGTCACAAAGCGTTCCTTCATCTGCAGTGCACAGATTTTTCAGGAAAGTTATGTCTAGTGTGTGAGAAGCCCAAGAGAGTGCCATGAAACATGATTGATGTTGGCTTCAAAATGTGACCACAGAAAAGATTAACGGGCAGCAATCCTACTGAAGAGATGAACAATACCCTTAATCACAAAGCAAAGACATGTCTTCATTTGGTCTGTTTGTCTTGGGTGGCAGCCAGGCCAGTGGAGATCATAGAAGTCTGTAAATGTAACACTTTCCCAGGTGCCTAGCAGAGCTACCACAAATGACACATACTCATAAATAACAGCCTTATTACTGAAAAAGCATGCATTTTGTCACTATCTCATTTGGATAGAATAGTTTTATATTCTTCTAACATATTCTCTACTATTTGACTAAACATTATATTTACAGCTCCCACATATTAGGATTAGTCAAATCTACGGATATGGTTTTCAATAGTGGTTCAATATAATTTTATAAATCTGTAGTTTTTCATTGCCCTATCATACTAATATAAAATTGAATTTATACATAATAACCTCTCCAAAACGATAACACAGAATCTAGAGACCCATTCTAAACAGATGGAAAAAGAAAACAAAAGAATGATTTCTGCCTAGAGATCTTCAATATAAGAGTCTGGGTTTGGAAAAGGAGTTAGCAGTGTGTTTATATTTTAATATTTAAAATCCAAATTTTAGCCAGCTCAATCATACCTGAAAACACCATTGCAAGCTTTACCAAGTGGACTGAGTGTTTGGTAGAGCTCAGGGTATAAATTCTAAACTTCAGAGGATTAGAAAAGTAAAACATTGGAGAGGGGGGAAAATGTTAGTTTTACGGTTTTTCCTTGGAGAAGGAAAAGACCAAAGCCAGGTTTCATCAATTCAAGCAACAATTTACATTCATAACAGTTATCGTCTAAGAAAAAGGAGGCGAGGGTCTGTAACAGAGCCAGTTACAATGCAGATCCTTCTTTGCCCTTCCTCGAACCACTCGAAATGAACAAAATACGGACCACCGGCCCCTGCCTGATAAGGTTCTCAGAAAGTGGGCTTCCTTGCAGCTGGCGAGAATATACTACAATTTCTGGATTCCCGAAGTGACTATCGCCTAGCAACTCGAAACGTCACGGGACAGTTAGCTCTCGGCAAAGCAAAGGAACCTTCAGACCCAAACTTTATTTCACCTGCAGAAGGAAGCTGGCAGAGCAATAGAAACAGGCACAAGTGCCCCAACCCGCTGAAAGGCAGAGACGCACAGTCCCTGGAAGACGCCCAGCAGAAGAAACTACATCTCCCAGGATGCAGCGCAATCAAGGAACGGGTGCGTGCTGGGACGTTGGGTGGCCGTGTCTGAAATGCCTAGGGAAGTTTTCCTGTCCAGGCCCAACTACCACTCCACACTCCAGAGTGTTTCAGAAGTTGGTAAACCCGCGCCGATGAGTCGTTTTTACACACAACAGGATACTTCCGCTGCAAAGCAGCTTGTGAACAACTTCCGTTTCCGGTTGGCTTATTGCCTTAGAAACCAGGATGCACAACAATCTGGGTGAATATGGCAGGTCTGAGCAGCTCACAGATCCCCGACGGTGAGTTCACTGCGGTGGTGTACCGGCTCATCCGCGACTTCCGCTACTCAGAGGCGGTGCAGCTGCTGGGCGCCGAGCTGCAGCGGAGTCCCCGGAGCCGCGCCGGGCTGTCCCTGCTGGCCTACTGCTACTACCGCCTGCAGGAGTTCGAGCTCGCTGCAGAGTGCTATGAGCAACTGAGCCAGATGCACCCGGAGCTCGAGCAGTACCGCCTGTACCAGGCCCAGGCGCTGTACAAGGCCTGCCTGTATCCAGAGGCCACGCGGGTCGCCTTCCTTCTGGACAACCCCACCTATTATAGCCGGGTCCTTCGTCTCCAAGCTGCTATCAAGTACAGCGAGGGCGACCTGCCAGGAGCCAGGAGTCTGGTGGAGCAGCTGCTGAATGGGGAAGGTGTGGAGGACAGTGGAAGGGAAAATGATTATGATGGCCAGATCAACCTGGGTTGTCTGCTCTACAAGGAGGGACACTATGAAGCTGCCTGTTCCAAGTTCTTAGCGGCCCTGCAGGCTTCTGGCTACCAGCCCGACCTTTCCTACAACCTAGCTTTGGCATATTACAGCAGTCGGCAGTATGCCCCTGCTCTAAAGCATATCGCCGATATCATTGAGCGTGGCATCCGTCAGCATCCAGAGCTAGGTGTGGGCATGACCACTGAAGGCATTGATGTTCGCAGTGTGGGCAACACCGTAGTCCTTCACCAGACTGCTCTGGTTGAAGCCTTCAACCTCAAGGCAGCCATAGAGTACCAACTGAGAAACTATGAGGCAGCTCAGGAAGCCCTCACTGACATGCCACCCAGGGCAGAGGAAGAGTTGGACCCTGTGACCCTGCACAACCAGGCTCTGATGAACATGGATGCCAGGCCTACAGAGGGCTTTGAAAAGCTCCAGTTCCTGCTCCAGCAGAACCCCTTTCCCCCAGAGACCTTTGGCAACCTGTTGCTGCTCTACTGTAAATATGAGTATTTTGACCTGGCAGCTGATGTCCTGGCAGAAAATGCCCACTTGACTTACAAGTTCCTCACACCCTATCTCTATGACTTCTTGGATGCCATGATCACTTGCCAGACAGCTCCTGAAGAGGCTTTCATAAAGCTTGATGGGCTGGCAGGCATGCTGACTGAGCAGCTCAGGAGACTCACCATACAAGTACAGGATGCAAGACATAGTAGAGATGATGAATCTGCCAAAAAGGCTGTGAATGAATATGATGAAACTCTTGAGAAGTATATCCCTGTACTGATGGCCCAGGCAAAAATCTACTGGAATCTTGAAAACTACCCCATGGTGGAGAAGATCTTCCGCAAATCTGTGGAATTCTGTAATGACCATGATGTGTGGAAGCTGAACGTGGCCCATGTTCTCTTCATGCAGGAAAACAAATACAAGGAGGCCATTGGCTTCTATGAGCCCATCGTCAAGAAGAACTATGATAACATCCTGAGTGTCAGCGCTATTGTGTTAGCCAACCTCTGTGTGTCCTACATCATGACAAGTCAAAACGAGGAAGCTGAGGAGCTGATGAGGAAGATTGAAAAGGAGGAGGAACAGCTCTCCTATGGCGACCCAGACAAGAAAATCTACCACCTTTGCATTGTGAATCTGGTGATAGGAACACTTTACTGTGCCAAAGGAAACTATGACTTTGGCATCTCTCGGGTTATCAAGAGCCTGGAGCCTTACCATAAGAAGCTAGGAACTGACACGTGGTATTATGCTAAAAGATGCTTCCTGTCCTTGCTAGAAAACATGTCAAAGCATACTATCATGCTGAGGGACACTGTCATTGAAGAATGTGTGCAGTTCCTAGAGCACTGTGAAATTTTTGGCAGGAACATCCCTGCTGTCATAGAGCAGCCCTTGGAGGAAGAGAGGATGCACACTGGGAAGAATACAGTCACGTATGAGTCGAGAAAATTAAGGGCTCTGATTTATGAGATTATTGGATGGAATGTGTAATTATGGCTGGCAATGACTTTTATCATGAGGACTTCATATGTAAATTTAAATGTTTACCTGTATCTAGCTTTTGCTATTTGTGAGACTGTACATTTTAGTGTACTAGAAACACTATTAGATATAACCTGCCCTTGTAATCAAGTGAGATTTTGTAAGAACTGAGAAAGATGTTTTGTCTATCATGTTTTCTTCATCTTTTTGGTTTGGTGTATCTTAGGCAGAATTTGTACTTACGTTATCAGGGGACCAGACACTAAGTTCAGAACTTAGTAGTATGTAACGTCTTTTAGTAATCACTCCAGAGATTGTTCTTTATCTTTGCACATCTCCCATGTTTATAGAGAATTTAGAGTATTTGTCAGTTTTTTAATATAGTATTTTGTCCCAGATTAAATTCATTAGGTAATAAATGGTTTTGCTAGTGTGCAAGATTCAGTAGATTCACTTAACAAACTACAACATTAATAAATACTACAAAATAAATATTATAAAAGTTCTGTGGTGTTTATTTCCATGAGTTAATGATTTGAATTTATGTTATACTGCTTTTTTTTCAAATACTTTATTTTTATTTATTTCTCAAAATAACTAGAATCAGAGGTAGCCAGAGAACTCAGTTAATTTTTTTTATTCTCTCATATAAATACATCAGTTTCCTGTCCCTTCCATCCTCCCACCTCCCCTCTCCCCATCCATTTCCCTTCAGAAAAGATCAGGCCTCCCAGGGATATCAGCCAAACACGGCATAACAAGTTACAGTAAGACAAGACACACTTCATATCAAGGCTGGGTGCCCCCATTAGAAGGGAACGTGTCCCCAGAGCAGGTGAAAGAGTTAGAGACAGCCCCCTCCTCCCACTGTGAGGAGTCCCACAAAGACACCAAGCTAACAACCCTAACACATGCAGGGGACCTAGCACAGGCCCATGTGGCCTCCATGGATGTCTCCAGTCTCTGTGAGTAGCTGTGGGGCCGCTTAGTTGATTCTGTGGGCTGTGGAGAACTCAGTTATTAATTACTACCTTTGGCTGTATAATTTTGGGTATGTTGTAGTTTCCTTGTTTTAGTGACTTAGGTACAGAAAGCGTTACTTCATTAATCATTACCCTTCTGTTCCCACAACGGATGAGAAAGTCAGTCATGGGATGTAAGTTCATTGGCTCTTTGCTGCAATTCGTGACTCGTAGTATTTCTGGCTTCCCACTTCGATCCCTGCTCATTCTAACCAACTTATTTTATTTTCTGAGTCCTACAAAAAATAATTGTTTCTCAGCCCTCCATCCGTGTCTCTCTATAAACGTAACCCTAATTTGACCGGGTTTAGAAAACGCAACAGCATCAGGCTGAACCACAGATAACTGCTGATTTTTGAATTTCTTACCTACAAATTCAGCAGTTTCTTGCGTTCAACTTCATCACTTCCTATAGGCAGACAAAGCCCCTGCCATAATGTGAAGATGACTTTTCCCCTGTTGGGGTATTTTAGCCACATAGGTACAGTATGCAGGTTCATCATGCCTCCAGAGTGTGTACTCCTGGTTGTTCAAACTCCATTAGAAAAGACAAGCTGGCCTACTGTGTAGTCTAATGGTTTGGGACTAAGGCAATTTAAAAATGATCTGAGCTGCTATTGTTTGGCAGTGTTAGTTTGATTCCACACGGGAGAGAATCAGTGTTTAGTGGCCTCTTCAGAATGGCATCCCACAGCACATTCTATGTCTTAGAAATGTTCCTTGATAACTTCTGCTGGGACAGTAGCTCCCAGTGTCTCTCAATCTCCATGACCCCTTAAACACTGGAAAGTAAATGAACTGAAATTGTATTTTCAAAAGTCAACATTAATTTTCCCTATTTCCTCTTAACTGAACTTTTCTCTCTCTAAAAAGAAGTATTAAGTAAGTAATGTTAACCACCAAAAAGCAAATGTTTTCCAGATCCCTGTTTGCAAACAACTCAGCCTTTATTTGACCAGTTTGCTTGTCCAGGTGCTGTTTGTTTTTTGTTTTTGTTTTGTTTTTTGGTGTGTGTGTGTGTGTCTTCATTTTTCAAACATAAAAAACTTTTAGCCCTGACAGCTGAGCAGTCAGGAAATTCTGACTGTTCTGCCACCAAGTGAAGGAATACAGCTCAATCAGGGCAACTGTCTCCTGCCTTATTATCCTGGCTCTTCTCTCTCTCTCCATCTATATAAATATGAATTTTTATTTAGTGTGCACTTGAATGCAAGTGTGCCTGTATGTGGTGCTAAGCAACTTGCTGTTTCCAGATTCTAAAATAACTTCACAATGCCTCCCTCATGTTTTGTTATTTGATTGGCAAGCAATGCACAAAGCGTTGTTCCATGATCCTCACGCATACATAGTAGTACTAAAAACACTTCTTGACAAAGGGAACGTTATTTCTGAAGCCTTATTCTTTAATGTAAAACCTGTATCGTATGATACTAGTCAGTCCTGGATCTCCAAATACAGAATTTGAGCATGTTACCAGAATTTTAAGGCAAAAGTTCCAACAACAATCCAGGCTCAGTCACACACAATATACTAATAAAACAATACTGGTGAAATGCAGAAAAAATGTAATAGGCATGGCCAAGGTAAAAAAGATGAAGTAAAGGAATGCGAGACCCCAAGTTCATCCTCATGGACAAAACAAGATGAGATTTTAATGACGAGGCTAGGAGTTTAACAAACAGCAGGTGACATTTTGGGCCAGTGGGCCATTTACTGTTTTGATTCAACAAAGGGTTTGGAGATGCCAAGGTCATCAGCTGTGGGGAGCAATTGGATTCCTAAAGGCCATTGTCCTTCCAAGCCGCAACTCCACCAGCATTTGATGGGTCTCATCAGAGGTGGTGTGCCCTGTGAAACTTGCTGTTGTTTATCAGGGATAGTTTGAGAACCTTGTCAAAAAGGTGTTATTCATCTTGAAATCCAAGGTTAACTTTAGATGAGTGACCAAGGAAGAAAAAATTAGAGATAAAAAAGTAGAGCCAGGATTGGGGCGGGGGGGGGGATGTTGAGCATGGTGACTCACACCTTTAACCCCAGCACTCAGAACGTAGAGGCACTGGCCAGTAATATAGTTTCTCAGTCCCTACCCCCCCCCCCCCAATCACAGTGCTACACACCTGTCAAAGGCTTTGGATTCTTCAAGACATCTCTTTGATTGTGGTCTTTGATATAGCATGGATGATGCACCAAGGTTGTGAAGGTTGGGTGTACATGGGCAAACACACCCATTCACCAGAGGCAGACCACTAGAAACCAGGAGTACTGGTGACAACAGCAGTGGCTCATCTGCAATGACACAGACGACACTCACTCCTTAGGGGTGACACAACTGGCTTAGAGGAACCTTCACAGAACGGTCATGGTGTTTGGCCCCACGTTATGAGGGCTTGTTTATGAGGGCTGTGGGCTGGATGCTATCTCAGGGTTACTGCTGCTGTAATAAACCCAACCAAAGGCAATTTGGGGAGGAAAGGTTTAGTTTACCTTACAGTTTTACATCAGTCCTTCACTCAGCGAAGTTAGGGCAGGAACCTGGAAACAGGAGCTGATGCATCAAAGAATGCTGCCTACTGGCTTGCGCAGCCTGCTTTCTTATGGACTCCAGGACTGTCAGTCAGCCTAGGGGTAACTGTAAACTGAGCACAGTAAACTGTACCCTCTCACATCGATCACCAGTTTAAAACATATACCTGTTTTGCTCAAGGCCAATCTGGTGGGGGCACTTCCTCAATAAAGTTCACTCTTCCCAGACAACTCTAGTTTCTGTCTGGACAGCCTGTGGCCATATGACGTTTTTACCATCAGGAGCTGAGGTCTAACTACAAGACACCGCCCTACCTCCTACCCCACCCCCACCAAAGCAGTAGCAATGTGCCTGCTAGTCTTGTTATTAGTAAGTGCACTGAAAATGAATTAGGCTGCCTTTTCTGAGTTTGTCCACATCTAAAGATTTTTTTAAGCATGTGAACGTAGAACATGTGCATGTTCATATATCTAGGTGCACTTGTGGGTGTGTAGATTACATGCATGAAACCCCAAGGTTGGCACTGAGTCTTCCTCAATTGCTTTCCACTTCAGTTTTCCCATTTATTTTATGTGTATGGGTATTTTATCTGCATGTATGTCTGTGTCCCACATGCATGTAACGCCCATGGGGGCCAAAAGAAGACATCAGGTTCCTGGAACTGGAGTTGGAGGTAGTTGTGAGCCCCATGTACTGGGAATCAAACCTGGGTCCTCTGGAAGAGCAACCAGTGCTGGTAACCACTGAACTATTTCTGAGAGAGATGCTATTGGCGAGGTTTAAATGAGATCTCTAGGAAATAAAAGCTCTGTAAACAATTATTAGTTTTAGAAATGTTTTATTTGTTCCCAGCATATCTCTTAAAAATTACACATGGGCATTTTTGTTCTAAAACAACACAGTCTAAGAAAAACCAATAAAAGGAAATTCTGAACATACACTAAAAGCATGGCATATGGACTACGCATGGCTCAGTTTGAACTTGACAAGCTCTACTAGAATCTGAGAAATGTTACCTCCCATTACATATCCACTGTTAGCCTAAGTGTAAAGGGAAGAATTGTTTCCTATGCATTAGTTACAGTGGTATAATGGCTTACATATACATTTTACCCACATGTAATTCTCAAAAGATTACTACAGTACTGGCAGAAACATGTACTGCCATGGAGGAAGACTCAGGATAAGGTATCATTCAAGTCAAGTTGTATCAGAGCAAAGTATTTCACAGGTTTAGCAAAAAAGGACAAAGCTGTAGAGAACACACCTACTTCTCACAGAATTTGTTATTGCCTAGGAACAAAATATTATTCCCATGGCACCATCACATACAAAAAAGATGGACACATACCATAAGGACTACAAACCCTGCTTCCAGGCTCTGCTCCTTAGGCAGCTGTGTGAACACACCAAAAACATACAATGGGAGTCTCAAGGCTTGCCAAGTATTTGCACTTGCCAAGCCACATCTTAGGGCTACCAGGTTGGGACAACAGGAATGAAAAGTAGACACAAATCCCACCAACTGATTAGATGCACGAGTCCAGGTTTGGCATATAACTGGTTAAATACAGACAACCCAAATAAACACTGAACAGTGTTTCTACCAGACAGTCACCAAATTCTGATGTGTTCTTGGAGAGGAAGAACTTGAATTGCTAAATCATCTCTGTCTTTACAGACATGCTCTCTCTCATTTAAAATTGTTTCATGGAAGAAAAGAGAAAAATCCCAAGAAGGCACTATGTGCTTTAAGGGGTTGGTGTTAAAATTATCACTCAATAAATACCCATTTAGAGAAACTGACACAGGCATTCAGGACCTCTGTGAACAGTCATGGGGAAAACAACATTTCACAGGATGAGTTTTGTGATGCTGAGAAACAACACTAACAATCAGCTGTCTTCCAAATAAAGTGTAGCCAAGCAACCTATGCTCAAGAATTCTTTCTCCTGTTTTCCTGCTCTCAGGAAGCAAATCTCTAGTATCAAAAAAAAAAAATTCAAACAATGTATTACCTATTCCTTCTTTAAAAATAAAACAATATCCTTTGGAAACATCAAAAGAGTCTTTTCATGTTCACAGAATAGAAGTAACTCTGTGAGGGTTCTTTGGCTCAAGTGTGGTCTACATCAGTGATCTTCACTCCCTCTATTAAGGGATTGACTGTACTCCTTTACAAAGTGTAAGAACACTCACTGTGACCGTCCAGGTTTGAAAGGGAATGCTTCAGAATCAAAAGACTAAACACAACCTAAAAGTTTAATCTTGATTTTAAAATAACTGGACACTGATGCAACCAACTTAGGATATATTCAGCTGTAAAGTCAAAGGGATTTAGTCAGAGTTAGGTTGTCTTGATTATGCTACATTAGCAGACTTATAAAAATTATTTTCTATTTTCAAAGCCATAGAAATATGAAGTGAAAAAGTAAAATTAAAAATATATGCAAACAGAAGAAAAAACAGCTTCACACCTCCTTTTGATTTAAAAAAATCATAGGCCATGTCCATTTTATTAATAACATTTCTATAATCTCTTAACATTATACAAGCAGTTTTTACAGTTAAGTTTCACACTGAAGACAAACACTATTTGGCTTAAGGAACAGAAAGCTGGGTTACATCCTTCATGTCAGACACATACTTCAACAGCTGAAGAAAACCTTGTATACTTTCTGAATTTCGCTCTTGTTGTAGAAGTGATTTTTCTATTTTCAGCAAAGAGAAAGAATTAAATGAACCTTCAGGCAGATGGCTCCTATTGGAACATAAAGCCCTGAGCCAAGCCAGGCCTCTACAAAGGATAAAGCCAAAGGCAGAAACTCAGACTCCAGTCCTAGGCTGCTCCTGTTGTGCTCCCTGCTGTGCTCCCTGCCACAAGTGGAGTCCAGTTGAAATCAAAATCACTGAAGAGGAAGGAGAGGAAAAATCCTCCAAATTGCTCCAGCCATTCACTGCTGTCTCAGCGTCCCCCACGCTGGAGATATACGTGCACAGGCAGCATCTGTGGCTGCTCAGGCTTGTCACCCACGGTGTGACGCGGTCCCTCTACACACATCACTGTGTTCTGACAGTGATACCAAACCCAGCTCCATTTGGAGCAGCACACTTCATGTTAGGACTTTGGAGCTTCTCTGATCAGTTACAATTAGAAGTTGTTGGTATGAAAGAATATGACAAAGGAAAATCTCTGGGACGAACATGCAGAAAGGCTTTTTCAAATATGCAAACTAGTACTCAGTTACAATGTTCTGGAGGGGGAGAAAGGGGAGGGCTCTTGCATGTGTTTATATCTGATATAATATACACACTGATGGAAGCTTGTCTTTTATTGAACTTTTGTTTTCCAAAATAAACTAATAACACAAATATGGATACTAGAAGGCTTCCAGATTCACAAATAATCTTAGATCAATATTCCTACAATATGTAAGCATTTCGAGTAACAACCTCCCATTCCTAAAAAGAGCAGAGTTTAATCCTGTATTCTTTGATGAAATGCTGGACACAAGAAATAAGTGGCCTCACAATATAGCTAAATAAGAGACTCAAGGAACACAGCATGGTACTCAGTTTGCTGATACACCACTATACACCACACCACACATTAAGGCAACACTTCTCTTAGGTCAATAGAGCCTATCCACTTGTGTCTTTAGGATTTAAATCTTACTAGCAGCAAGTTCCTATTCCCACTAAAACCCCAACCTATATGTGGCATCATTAGATCTAAGCAAAATATTACACATAAGACTAATCTAAAAAGGATGGGTCACCCGGCGCTGGTGGCGCACGCCTTTAATCCCAGCACTTGGGAGGCAGAGGCAGGCGGATCTCTGTGAGTTCGAGGCCAGCCTGGTCTACAGAGTGAGTTCCAGGACAGCCTCCAAAGCCACAGAGAAACCCTGTTTCGAAAAACCAAAACCAAAAAAAAAAAAAAAAAAAAAAAAAAAAGCATGGGTCAGTGTTAGGTGCTTCTGAATATTAAACAGGCTACAGCTTTTTAAAGAAACTAACCTATGAGTTAAGATGCTCCAGGTAACAATATTCTCTTGGGTTTAGCTTCATGAAGCCATGTGCAGACACTTCTGAAAGAGGCAAGGTTTAATAAGTGCTTTGTGCATATTCATAAACTCATGCTCCTCCGAAGACACAGTCTACCTGGAGGCATCTTCCACAAGTGGGTTGGAAGGCTTCCTGATTTACAGTCAGAGTGAAATAGTACTAATGAATATTCTTGTATCTCAAAATGATCCCTGTTGAAAAATGTAGTAACCATTATAGAGTCAAGGTTGGTCAGGCCTGCATACAGAGGAAAAGACATAAACTGCTAACCTCCATAAAGTTCATGTCAGATAGTGAACTCAACTACTCAGGTGACAGTTATACTTACAGTACAGATTGCCAAGGCTGTGTAAATCTGAACTCCTGGGAGAAAAGGTTTTAACAATCACATGCAAGGAACTGGATCTGCTAGTAAATCTGTTTATTAAAAATAATTACTTGGAAACATGTATACACTTTCAGTGAGATGTTGGAATCTTACTTAATGTTACATATCAATCACCAATTAGAGAATCATCTTCAGGAAGAGATGCATTTTATAAAGAATCTTATAATTCTAGAGGCAATTTCCTTGAGTGTCCAGCTATTTCAAACCATCAAAATCTTTAATCAAAGATATGGAAATTTTATAATTGAAAATAAATCATCAATAAAGAGGCAGCTTCCAAAATTAATATTGAGTTTTTGTTGTTAAACTAATGCTTAATATTGATTTTTCCAACAGATTTAAATTTGTTAGTTTTAGGCCAATTTTAATAGTTAAAAATTATTTATCATTTTGAAGTCTTAAAAATATCATTTTGTCAATTTTAAATTTTCACTGTTATGTTTAAGGCTACTTCAGATAAAAAAAGGTATCAAACTGCCCCAATATATTTGGAGCTGTTGCTACATAGACAGACAGTGTGTCCTTTTAAAGGATCGTCTGCATTTTGACTTAATTATCTGATTAAATATTTTAAAAAATTATCAAAAGTTAGGTATTGCATTAAGAAAAGAACCCATCTCACAATGTGAATCAGAAACCTCAACAGTGATTTAAAGCAATTGTTCTACTTATTTCAATATCCAGTTGTGAATGTAAAAATGTCTGCTAAATGTAATTAATAGTCTCTTTTTTATTTAAGAAACAGGATATTTCAAACTTGTGATTATGGCATATGCAGTAATACATTTTTAAAATTTAGGTTAAACCAGTAATTCAAAAAGTCATTAAACCATTATTAAGAACTGAATTGAAACTAATTTTCCATGAAAATTTATCAGGCTATTTGTGGCTAATTAGAAAAAAAGATTGTTGTTATTGAAATTATAGAGGCTTTCAAACCTAAGAGTCAACTGACGACTGTGTCTCTAGCCAAGTCTTTAAACTGGAGACAGCAGGCTCAGGAGCCTTCCCTTTGTTCATGCTGCAGTTGCCTGTGCAACTTGGCAACAAGCACGTGACGGCAGAGACATGAGGACTGGAGGGTGGACAATGGCCTTCATTTCACGGTAACACCTGCCCGTCACCTGCAGCAAGGCAGCTTTCCTTACAAAGCACGTGACGGCAGAGACATGAGGATTGGAGGGTGGACAATGGCCTTCACTTCACGGTAACCCTGCCCGTCACCTGTAGCAAGGCAGCTTTCCTTACAAAGCACGTTATGGATGGTGCAGGACACAACAACAGCTTACCCACGGTGACACAAATACAACTCACACCTACTAGAAACAGACACAAGGACAAAAATGTGTCTGCTCACAGAGTAATTTGCATGTTGGCAATTTAAGTTTGTAACTGTGTATTCACTTCAAGCAAAGCTTAGGCTGAGCACCTTATACAGATGAAGGCATGCTAGTAACAGACTGCTGGTCCTGGCCTGAGTGTCCTCTCCCTCAGTGGCCTACTCTCAGGAAAGGACGCTTTTAACAACACACACAAATATCTCTCCCCAGCAGAATCTGCTAGATATCTGCTTTAGAGAAATGTTTAAGAAAGGACACACCAGAGGAGAGGCTAGATGAGCAGCAGATGACACCATCTGCCCCGGCTCACCTAGAGGAGCACGTAAAACAGCTGGCAGCATCTTCTTCAGATAAATCTGAAATGACAACCAGTTAGTTGACTATAAACAGGTACATCTACAATGAGAGAGACCTAGGAACGCCATCTGTCAATCTATAGATGTAGAAACAAAGCACAGAACAAAAACCAACTTATTTGAAACCAACAAACAAATGTACAGTCCTTGATATAATTACTGGTATAACCATAGCTGATGACTTTAAAAAGGTAACATTTTTCATAATGCTATCCATGGAGTTACAAAAGGTTTCTGTTTCCAAAGATGTTACTGGGGTCCACATACTCCTTGACAGACTTTAACATCCCAAAACCGACATCAGAGATGCTCTCCTTTAGCCACTGCTTTCGTAACTTGCCCACTGGAAAACAAAATAAAAAAGGCTTCAGTACACACCTTGAATGCTGGAAACCAATCAATCTTGTGACCATGAGTGAGCAAACACTGTGTGATAAATCCTTTTATTCAAAAATGAGAACTGTTCTGCTTTGTTTGATTTATTGAGCCCACCAGACTATCAAGCTCATTAAGCCCAATGCATTCCCAGGGGAAGTCTGTGCCTCACAGTGTCTGTCTCCTTTCTCTGTAAACTATAAAATGGAGATCGAAGGAAGTGTGGACTGAGATCACAGGCTATTTTACAAATAACAAGATGAAAAAGATCATGCTTATCCAAAAGCCCACCCCGTGTTAAAACTCCCAGCAAGTAAAAATTTTGTAGAAAATGAAGCTTGCTGAAGAAAAATACAGAAAAATGAATCTGCTGGGCAGAACTGACAAACATGACAAGCTATATAGCTCTTTGGAATATTTTAAGGAGTACGCTTAAGAGAAATGAGAAAATGACTCAAAGGATTCAGGGGGTAAGATCTAGTTATGAATCTTTCCAATCAAAAATTCTTTTCCAAGTGATTTAAATAATCCCATGTACCTCAAATGACAGTTGACATTCTTGCCATTGTCCAGCCAGATTTAAACATTTTTCTTTTTCTGGCACACACAAAAGCAGATGCCTAATCTGTTTTAAATTTAACTTCCTCTAACTGATCACTTAATTTTTTTCCTTATTTTAGGTCTTACAAACTTGAGGCAATGAAGTATCACAATAATTAGCCTAGTCAATTATTTTTAAAGGCATTAAATAAAAAACAGCCACTTCTACCTAAAACTTTTGTGAGTGACAGTTAAAAAGAATTCTGACTTTCAACTTGCTTTGGCACTGAAAGCAACGCAGTGTATTCTCTGACATGACAAAATCTGAGTATTAATCTATGGTAGGGCTATCACAGTGGACACTCCTCAAACATATGCATTATTATAATAACTGGATTAAAAAATGTTCATTAATGATCCAAAGTCATCAACAGAGATTTAATTGGCCAACAGAAATGGGAAGCCTTTCATTGAAGTATTTGAACTGTCACTTTAAAGTATACTCCCATTCATCAGGCTGCAGAAATACATCCCAGCAATACCATTTGGAACCTTAAATACCACACTAGTTCAGCTCCAAGCAGCTTTCAGTCCAGTTTTCCATGAAACCACCAGACCATCATCCAAATGTCAAATGGCACGGTACTTCAGAAAGCCAGGTATCTGTGGTTGGCACAATAAACAAAGCATTGCAGAGCTACAAGAAGCGGAGTCTAGGGGGGAGATCTAAAGTTCACAGGGAAAGCTTCTGTTCAGAGACCTCTGTCTGAGACCAGCCAACACACACAGGGGCTCCTCAAGCAGCCTCCACCTGAAGATCTCCAACAGGACTGCTTTCACCTCGGCACCATGCTGCAACCTGAGCTTTTTCATCTGCCACTAGATTCACCTATTATTGTAACATCCTAAGCAAGTTAAAAGTCCACATTCCCAGATTTGCTCTGTGAGGCTAAGTAAATAAAGAAGCAGCAGCAGCAGCAGCTATTCTGAGTTGTGGAAGGTGCTACTCATGCTGCGGCAGCTCAGGAGAAGGATGACGAGCAGTCAGTGCCAGTCTCCACGGTTATCTGTAATATAGCTTCACCGAATGTGTCCTGTGGTTATGGATGTAATTGTCCTGAAAAGACGGCAAACAACTGCTCCAACAAGATGGAGCACATTAGAAGCTCAGCAGGATGCCCAACAGCTAGCTTGTCTGCCTGGTTTTACACCTCTAGTAATAATGCAATTCCACAAGGAACTGAACCATTGTCTGAGAAGCCACCCAACAGCCACTGCATACTTAATGAAGTCACTCACCAAGCAGTGGAAAACAGAAGGTGCTTGAAGTGCGTCATTAGTTCTGTCAGAAGGATAATTTACACATCTATCTTGTCAAATTGTCTATGGTTTATACTTTGACAATAATCAATCTAACACACATTTGATTAGTGAACTAGCAAGTAGCGGGGGAGAAGGCATAGCTGTGGTCCCTCATAAACATGTTTGATGAAAGAATTTAACCAACTGGTGGTACTGGTCTGTGAGCTGGTAACAGAAATGGCAAAGCAGGGGCTGGAGTCATGGCTAACCCTCTCTCCGTCTCTCCATCCCTCCTTCCTTCCATTAGTGTATGGCATATGTGCTTCTTGGGGATGTGGAGGACCAAAGAAGATGCTGGGTATCTTCCTCTACTCCTCTGTGGCTGGGTATCTTCCTCTACTCCTCTGTGGCTGGGTGTCTTCCTCTACTCCTCTGTGGCTGGGTGTCTTCCTCTACTCCTCTGTGGCTGGGTATCTTCCTCTACTCCTCTGTGGCTGGGTATCTTCCTCTACTCCTCTGTGGCTGGGTATCTTCCTCTACTCCTCTGTGGCTGGGTATCTTTCTCTACTCCTCTGTGGCTGGGTATCTTCCTCTACTCCTCTGTGGCTGGGTTTCTCACATTTTCTCAGCTACAGGGCAGCTAGCAAGTCCTAGTGATCCTCCTGTCTCCATTCCACTCAGAACCAGGGTTATCAGAGTATACCAGGTGGCCAGTTTGCTATATGGGTGGTGAGATCAGAACTCTGGTCTTTGTGATGTGTAGAAAGCACTCTTGACTACTGAGCCATCACTCTCTAGTCCCCAGAAGCTTCTTATTTTTCCATTAATTAGCATGATGAAACTATTGCTAGATTATATACAGAACTATTACTGAATGGACATCCAGTGTCTTGTCAGATGAAGTTTGAATACTCTGGTACCTGTTAGGTACTAATGAGAACAAAGAAAACCAATGGGCAATCTGACTCTGAGTTAGTGGAGCTAACAATGCTTCTTAAAGGGAGACTTAGAAAGGTCTCTGACTTACATATCTGCTTGTTCCATGACATACAGTGTGGTTGTTTGATTCTGGCAAAGCTGTATGCTTCATAAATGCCATCCAACAAACCTCTACCAAGAGAAATGATAACATCTAGCCCTTAAGAGAATCTGAGATGGGACTAAGATTCTTCCTGACTTCGCAAGAGAAACTGAATGCTCAAAGGCCACAGCACTACTTATCAGTGTCATCTGCTAATGAAACTTCTGACATTAAGACAAACTGATGAATACCACAAAAGCAATCAGAATCCTTATTTCAATTTCTCTTATTGCCGACATTTAAAATGCCTGTTTTCTTTCTGTCTTATTGACCCTGTGATAGCCCTACCTCAGCGGCCTGAGTGTTGGAGTTACAGTTATGTCCACTATCCATCCACTAAGCTGGCTAGCAATGCCAGGTTTTTATAATGCTAAGGGTTTGTCTACACAGTTTATCTAATAGCTCTGAATGTTTGAATAGCTTTTTTGAGACTAGAAACTGAAAAGAAATTTCAATAATTGGAGTAAGTAGATCAGAAGAACGGGAGTCAATCCGTCTTAAGCAACATCAATTATTCTGATACACTTGACATTTAAACCAGAGTAGAACTGAGTGCTTATAAAACAGAGACCAAACCAAGTGAAGAGTTAAATAAAATGAGACAGATAAAAGTAGAAAAGACCAGAAGATTTTATCTTTCTTGAAGACTAAGAACAGTATTTTATTGTACTTTGTAATCCTGTTATATAACACAGAATCTACCACATAGTAAGATAGTCAATAAATTTAGTTCAAGTATAAAAGAACTCAACTATAGTTATTTCTAAGACACTTTAAATACTGCACAGGGATTCAAAAATCTAGTAATGCAGTTTTATTTCCTCGATTGTATTCACCCTATATTCCCTTTATTTTGGCATTACTTCTTGGAGATACTCAAAGCTATTCTGTAGTAGGTAAAAGGCATGACACAGAACTCCAAGTTCTCATTTCTTCAAAATCTAAAGGACTATTTGGACCTTACTGGTGATTCTCAACTGCAGTGGCTAGTATTTAGCAACACCTACAGACATTTCTGGCTGCCTTAATGGGGCAATTGTTATTGGCATTGTGCCAGGTCATTTTATGTTAACTTGACACAAACTAAAGTCATCTCAGAAGAGGAAACCTCAACTAAGAAAATGCCCCCATAAGATTGGGCTGCAGACAAGCCTATGGGGCACTTTCTAAATTGATGGGGGAAGGCCCAGCCCATTGTGGGTAGAGGCATCCCTAGGTTGAGCAAGCCATGGGGGAGCAAGTAAGTAAGCAGTACTCCTCCATGGCCTCTGCATCAGCTCCTGGCTCCAGGTTCCAGCCCTGCTTGAGTTCCTTTCCTGATTCCCTTCAGTGATGGACTACAGTGGGGATGTGTAAGCCAAATAAAACATAATCCCTTTCCTCTCTAACTTGCTTTTGGTCATGGTGTTCTGATACAGTCACTGTTGGTCACACTACTCAGATACTGGCTAATCAGAGTGCATGGCTTTGACACTGGTACAGCCCAGATGCTGGACAGTTTTGTCTCAAAAGTATCCGTCACGTCAAAACTGTTATAGAACCATAAAGGCAAGAAGCCATTTGAGATCGGCTTTTATATACTTAGCACAGTCCTGTAGAGATGCAGCTAAATATAGTCAATAGTTCATTCCTTTTTGTTACTGAATAGTATTCCAGAACATGGATTAACAGGATTTATTTAGCCATTCACTGGCTAAAAGATATCCAGGCTGTTACATCTTCATCTTGTTAGAGTTGAGCCCAGTTAACCAATTTTTCCTTTTGTGGATTATGCTTTTGGATCCAATCCCCAGAATTCCTTGTCTGGCTCTAGACCTGAAGATTTTCTCTTATGCTATTTTCTAATACTTTCAGAGTTTCACATTTTGCATTAAGATCATAGCCCATTTGGGGTTAATTTCTATATGAATGTAGATTTAAGTCAATGTTCTTTTGTATGCAGTTGCATGTGTGTGTGCTTACAAGCATATAGCTGTTCCAGTATCATTTTCACTGGAGTGTTCCTGTCAAAATAAGAGTCCAGGTATGTGGACCGAGTTCTGTGT